ATATGAGTATTCCCTGCTATGACTTTCCCTCATAAGACTGCTTTCATTGTGTCCCATAGATTCTGATATGTTGTATTGTCATTGTCATTTAATCGAAGGAACTGTCTGATTTCTTCTTTAATTTCCTCTGTGACCCATTGGTTATTCAGAATTGTGTTGTTCAATTTCCTTGTTTTGATGTACTTTTGCAGTTTCTTTTGCTATTAATCTCCAATTTCATTTCACTTTGGTCTGATAATATACAGGGGATAACTTCAATTCCTTTGCAGTTACTTAAACATGTTCTGTGAGTGAGTATGTGGTGTATTTTGGAGAATGACCTGTGTGCAGCTGAAAAGAATGTGAATACCGTTTTTGTGGGGTGGAATACTCTGTAAACATCTGTTAAGTTCATTTGTTCAAGAGTTCAGTTGAGTTCTAGTATTTCATTACTTATTTTTTGTCTAGTTGATCTATCTATTTGTGGCAGTGGGATATTGAGGTCTCCCACTACCATTGTATTAGTGCTTATATGATTTTTCATGTCCGTTAGTATTTGTTTTATATAGTGGGGTGCACTAGTGTTTGGTGCATATATATTTATGACTGCTATCTCTTCCTCTTGGATTATTCCCTTTACAAGGTCTTCTTTGTCTCTCTTAATCAGTTTTGGTTTGAAATCCACTTGATCTGCAAAGAGGATAGGTAATTCTGCTTTTTTTTGGGTTCCCGTCACATGGAGTATTGTTTTCCACCCTTTAATTTTCAGTCTATGAGTTTCCTTTTGAATTAAGTGTGTTTCTTGAATGCGGCATATTGTTGGATCTTGCTTCTTGACCCATTCTGTCAGTCTATTTCTTTTGAATGGTGAATTGAGACCATTAACATTGATGGTTACAACTGATATGTATTGACTTATCATTGTCATGACTTTTTCTTTTTGTTGGATTCTTCCCCTTTGCATTAAATTTCTTGTCACTCAATAGATTCATTCTGCTGGGCTTACTGGGGTTGCGATCCTCATTGTCTTTTACTTGGATATTGTCTTATATTTTTTGGAGTGCTGGTTTGGTATTCATAAAGTTCCTAATGTGCTCTTTGTCATGAAAGGATCTTATTTCTCTAATAGTTTTGAAAGATAGTTTTGCAGGGTACATCAGTCTGGTTTGGAGACTGTTTTCCTTTAGGGCTTGGAATATGTCACTCCAAGCTCTTCTTGCCTTGAGCAGGTTTACATTGAAAAGTGTGCTGTGATTCTGATGGGCTTTCCTTTGTATGTGATTTGTTTCTTTTCTCTCACTGCTTGTAGAATTTTGTTCTTCTGTTGGGTTTCTGGAATCTTAAGAATTATATGCCTATGTGTAGATTTTTTTTTTATCAAGTCTAGTTGGAGTCATATCTGCCTCACTTATCTGTATGTCTCACTTATCTTTTCCCCTGCTTGGGAAGTTTTCCGCCATCACTTCTCTGAACAGTTTTTTATGTCATCTGCACTCTGTCCTGTTTCTTTATTGACTCTGATCAGTCTTATGTTATTCTTCTTTGCATCGTCTAGTAGCTGCTGGATTGATTTCTCATGTTCCTTTACAATTTTAAAGCAATTTTTCTTTTCCTGGTCACTAATTGCAATCTTATCTTCTATATCTGGAATTCTAGCCTCACATTGACTCATTCTACTGTGTAAACTTTCAATGGAGTTTTTAATCTCCTGGAAATATGTTTGCATCTGTTTTATGGATTCCATTTGTTTCCTGTGTTGGGATTCCCTCATGTTCCTCAGCTCCTCTTTTTTTTTTTTTTTTTTTAATCTGTGTCCTCTCTAGATTCATTAATCATGTCTTGCCCTATGGGTACAATCTCTGCTGTTATCTGAGAAATTATGTCTGATTTCATTCTTTCCAGATCCTCTTTTATTGCCAGTTCAGGGAGTCCAGGTGGTTAAGTATCAGAGTGTTCCATCTCATTTCCCTTTCTGGTTCTTTTGGTGATCTGGAAATCTGTCTTTGAGGCTTGTTTACATGTGTGCTCATTCTTCCAGTGGGTCAGGGGGAATGTTGCTGGTTCCCACTCGGCTCAGCTCCTCTGCACTGGGAGTGGTGCTCCATTGGCCCAGAAGCTTCCTCTTCTGTGCTGGTATCGGCGGTACCTGACAGCTACCATTCTACTTTGTGTCTCTGAATCTGGTACTTCATATAACTCGAAGCATACAGAATTTGTCTTTTTTATGTCTATCTTATTTCACTTAGCATAATATTTTAAAAATTCTTCCATGTTGTAGCCTAAGCCAGAATTTTATTGTTTTTTTCCCCAGTACCAGGAATGGAAATAAAGACCTTGCACTTACCAGTGGTGCCACTGTGCAAAAGCCACAGCTCGTCATTTGTTTTTAAGGCTGAATAATCTATCTATTTATTCATTCACCTGTTGATTAATATTTGAGTTGTTTCCAGTTTTGGCTATTCTGAATAATGCCGCATAAACATTGGTATATAAGTATCTGTTCAGCATTGTATTTCAAATAATCGTTTTACGCAAGATATGAAACATAGTTCTTATAATATCAATCTTTTTCATTTTTTGAGACAAGGTCTCACTATGCTGCTCTGGCTGGTCTTGAAGTCCCAGGCTCAAGCAATCTTCCTGCCTCTGCGTCTTTTGTAGCTAGGAATACAGGAATGTACCACCACACCCAGTTTAGACAATAAATCTTAGTTATGAGTTAATGTAATCTTTTTTGGATAAGAACAAATAGTATTTAATTCATTTCTGATTCTATTTTATCTTCCTTTGCTATTGTGTTTTCACTATAAATCTTAAACTCCTTGCTAAATTGTGTAAGTCATTTAAACTTTGTTATTGCTCAGCCTCAGCTCTCTTTCTTGAGCTGTTAGCTGCGCTTGACACAACTGATCAGTTCTATCTCCTTGGAAACCTTTCTCATGATGACTTGCAAAATGTCTGACTGTATTGATTTTCCTCCTGACTCACTGCCTCTTCCCTCTGAATCTCCCTTGCCCTGCCCTCTATCTCTCCAATTTCTAGACATTGGAGTACCCCAGGGCTCAGTTCTGACTCTTATCATTATCTGCTCCAATCTAGTAGCTTTAGATACCTATCTCCAGACAGAACTTCACTTTTCAACTCCAAACACATATAACCTGCTTGTATGTCTAACAGGCATCTTAAGGAGTCCTTTCCTCTCCAACCTCTCTCTCCCAGCCTACTCATCCTGATGTCTTCCCCCTGCAGTGAATGGCCATTTGGCTCAGACACCTCCATGGCTTTTCCTCTCATTCAGAATCTAAGACACGATAGCTGCAGTGGCTGACCCAGGCTTGCACAGATGCTGTTCCACATGATCAGGGACCCACATCCAGCTGTAAGTGCTGTATCCAGGCCCTGTGGTGATAAGGAAGACACAGAGTAGGACTCAGACACTTCTTAGCAGTTTGACAGAGTGGTTTTTGTCTGTTGAATCTACTAAGAAGTTGGGCTTATATTTTTCTTTTTTTAATAGTTCACTTTTAGTATGTTTTTAAAATATCCCAACATAGATTCAAATTGCTTTTTTGTAAAAGGTCGTTTACCAAAGATAGATTGAGAAGTACTGTCTTCAGTGACTTGACCCCACCCCAACTGTGTTGCTCTGCTTTGGCTGTGACCCCCTCTCCTCCATGGGGAAGAGACTCCCTGCCCTCCACAGCAGCCACTCTGCCTGCTTTGCTGTTCCCCAACACCCCACTCATCCCTACCCTCCATCTCCTCCTTCCCATGTCTATGTGGTGTGTTTCCTCATTGTCTCCATGAGGAGCCTTATATCTTCGTTGTATTAGTTGTCTGTTTCTGTCCAAACCCTGTAAGAGTACCTTGGATATATCATATGCTGATTGAATAATTGTTTAATATTTGAAATCTGAGATGAAATTTAATGTAGGTATGGAAACTGTATAGAGGCCAGGAGATTCCTTCTGGAAAAGTGAAAGCTTCAGGCATGTCCTCTCAAAGGTGGGAGAAGTAGGAGCTAGCATTTTCCAAGGTCATTTTTGGATGCCTACTTGCTGTCTGCCATCGGGAGAAAGGTTGGCCTGATCTTACACCACTCACCAGAGCCTGAGCTTTGAGCAAGTGAAAGCTTACTCTGTGTTTATTTTCCTTATTTCTAGGTCCTTCCTCGATTTAACCAGAAAGGAGAAGTATATAAAGCACAGATAATGAATGTGAGCTGGTCAGCTGACCACAGGATTATTGATGGAGCTACAATGGCACGCTTCTCTAATTTGTGGAAATCCTACCTAGAAAACCCAGCTTTTATGCTTCTAGATCTGAAATGAAGATTAATAAGATATTCTTGAACTTTCTGAATTTCCAAAGAGTATGTAAAACCTAGCTGTGGTGCACATATTCTTATATGTTGTGTTGTAAATTATGTGTATTATATAACTAAGGTTCTAAGGCACAGTATTTATCACTATTCTGTTAGACTTTTTAGAGAAAATGAACAATGGTGGAACAGTTCTCCTGGGACTGTCACATTTCATAACTCAGAGTGTGACTTCTTAACATGGTGCTTTGGTCTTGGTGTAGATAGATTGAAACTGGCAAGAAAACAAAGTTACTGTTACTAAAAATCAGCCATATACCTATAGCTTTTCTTTCTCTTCCTCACTTCCTTCCTTCCTCCCTCTCTTTCTTCCTTCCTTCCTTCTTTTCCCTTTTTTAAAAACTAATCTTTAGTAAAACTTTTATAATTTAATGAGAAAAAGGAATTTTTTTTGAGACAGGGTATGTAGCCCAGGCTGGCCTTGAGTTCACTACATAGCCCAGGCTGCCCTCAGACTCAAAAGAATCCTTGTGCCTCAGCCTCCTGAGTGCAGGGATTACAGACATGTGCCACCACACCAATCTGGGAAAAGGAATTTATATACAAAAATATTTTCCTTTTCCCTACAGTCATGTTAATTGTTGTATAAAATAAGTGCAATTATACTTATCTGTTAAGATACCCAAGGAGTATACTCTTGCTCCTTTTAGAGACTGTGCTCTATAAATGTCTCATTTAAATAAATTTATGTCTTTTAAAAGGGAAAATTGTTCTTAATTATAATGTTATAACCAGTAAGGGTATTAAAAGTATATGTTTAAAATAGATATACTTTTAGAATTTTGGTAATGCTTTGGCATTTTCTTGAGAAAAACTTCACCTTTGGAAACTTCATGTGGGGAAAAGTATTTTAAATGCAGCAGTTACTGACTATTTTAAAGTCAAACTTGCTTTAATTTTCTTGACCTTTTGCTAAAAATAGGATAAGGAAAGGACTAAGAGTTTATTTTATTCTCCATAGTCTGAATAAGAACATGAATAAAAAAGAGAGAAATGTCTAATGGGTAATTATGGACAAAAATTAAATAATAAATTTTATACAGAAATGAAGGCTTTATGTTTGTCTTTTTTTTTAAAGATCACTGTAATCAGAAACAGCATTATGTTGAATTTAACCTGGCATTTAATTTTGAATTCAGATATCTGAGTTGCTTCTAATATTGTCCTATTTAATATGATATGACACAATTAGTTGTCAATGTTCTGTGAGTTTTTTGTTTTTTGGTTTTTTGGGGGGTTTTTTTGGTAGCAGGGATCGAACTTGGGTCCTTGCGCTTAGAGGCAAGTGGCAGAACCACTGAGCTAAATCCCTGGCCCTGTTTTGTGAGTTTTAAAACAAGGTCATTTTGCTGTCTACTTGATTATTTTCTGAAACAATTTTCAAATCAAAGTAATACATGGTGTTATTTTAAGATTTCAGATTATATGAAGAGTTACAAAGTAGCCCCCATAATCATACCACTATTAATATTTTGATGTATGTATCTGTAAACATATTCTTTTTATAAAAATGGGATCATGTATAACTACTGTTTTATAATTTGATTTTTTAAAATTTATCATTATATTATGGGTAACTTTTATGTCAATAAACAATTTCACTGACTTTGTAATATTCCATTGTACATATTTATTACAGGATAATAAGCATGGTCCTAAGCCTTTGGGTACACAGGTGCCTGTCCTCCTGATCCCTACCTCGATTGGGCTTACAGCCGCATGAAAGAGATTTTAAATACACATAAAAACAAAACTATAATTACACTTCTATGGAGCAAAAGCCAGGGTGCTATGAGCCATCTAATAGAAGTTACTGATCCTGGGAGAATCAGAAAAAA